GTGCTGATGAAATGTAATTGATGTGATGAAGACATGTAATTGATGTTATGATGGAATGTAATTAATGTGATGAAAATATGTAATAAATGTGCTGATGAAATGTAATGAATGTAATGATGAAATGTAATTGATGTGATGAAGACATGTAATTAAATTTAATGAAAAGTGTAAGGAATAGGATTAAGAATTGTAATGAATGTGATGAAACAATGATGGAAATTGGGAAGTTTGAACAGAATGGCGGTCAAATGGAAACCTGCAGTGTTCTGACGGGCACCTTCATTTGCATCCTACATTCACATTAGCTACATGCAACTCTACTGCACTATTGTATTTGTTCTGTTGTTGCGTTGTTGTGTTGGGGTTTGTTGTTGCTGTTGTGTTGTTGCGCTGTAGTAGTAGTAGTAGTAGTAGTATTAATAGTAGTAGTAGTAGTAGTAATAATAATAGTAGTAGTAGTAATAGTAGCAGTAGTAGTAGTAGTAGCAAATATTATCAGGTAGCAGTAGTTGTTATATTATTATTATTAGCATATTATTAGTAGCAGCAGTAGTATTAAGAAGTAGTAGTAGTAGTAGTAGTAGTGGTAGTAGTAGTAGTAGTAGTAGTAGTAATGGTGACAGTAATAACAATAGTAGTAGTAGTAGTGGTAGTAGTAGTAGTAGGAGTGGTTGTTTTTGTTGTTACTAAATAAAAGATAGCTATAACTGTGGGTGTGTTTGGTTATATTTTTTAATATTAGCATTCACACCTCACAGAGCATCAAACTTTCAACGACGTTTCCTGGAATTAAACGATCGTGTATGTGTTTGTATGTATGTGTGTACGTATGTGTGTGTATGTGTTTGTATGTGTTTGTATGTGTGTGTATGTGTGTGTGTACGTACGTATGTGTGTGTGTTTGTATGTGTTTGTATATGTGTTTGTATGTGTGTGTATGTGTGTGTATGTGTGTGTGTATGTGTGTTTGTATGTTGTGCATGTTGTGTGTATATTGTGTATGTTGTGTACAACGTACGCTTATGATGGCCTGAGACTGTATCATATCATATGTATTGGATGCTGTTGTGTTTGTTATTTATGCTGATGCTGTTGTTGCTGATGATGATTTTGTTGATATAAAATGATGTATTATATAATATAAAATGTATCAATATCACTTATCACCATCATTGCGTCGTGCGTGCTAGACGAAAGCCAAACAGTTGAATTTCTAGAGATCCACCTTGACCAGAAGTTAAGTCTCCAAGACCACGTATATTACGAGTCAGGAAAAATGGTGGAAGCAATAGGCGTTACCAATAAAGTTTCATTTTACGTTCCAAAAAGAACATTGAATATAGGTTCTTATTGCGACGCGGTCTGAGCTGCTACCTATCGCACGATGACCGACGGCATCTGACTACACACAATGATATTCTTTTTGTCAGCGTAAAATTTTAATTTTGATCAGATGAATGCCTACTTCACGGCAATTTTGTCTACAAACAGCTGGCAAACAAGTTACTTACCACCAATATTCAATCATTACTATGCTTGCTGCTGCAACAAGAGACGACTGAATTACATTAGAACAAATTTATCGAAAACGAACATTCTCTTCTTCCACATTCACTGCAAAGGACCATGAATTTGGAATTTTCTGTTAAAGAATAATTTTAAAATTAACTCAATGCCTTATATTAAATTTAGGCATGAACTAAAAATTCATATTATAAATTTAAAAACTGATTCATTCAGTTAGAATAATTTAGTTATATAACTTTAAAAAAACTTGTTTAGTTATTATTTTTGAGCTGATGGTTGATGCGATGTACGTTAATGCAATTTTCGTTTCGTTTTCGTTTCGTATAAAATATTTAGTGTATAAATTCGTATCATTATACCAGGTTATTCAGGTATACAAAGGAAAGCCATTGAAAGTTTAATGTTCTGTGAGATTGTGTATCATTATTTTGTGTATCAATGTATTGTGTATCACCGTATTTTGTATCATTTTGTATGTTCATCAGTATGAAACACAGTGTATCAATACGTAGTAAATACCATTGTATTATTTGTATTTTATTGATATGTTGATAATAAAGTTCTTTAGTTTTTTGTTGTTCTGTTAAGGTCTTTTGATCGTCTTTTCCATATTTTTGTGAGTTTTAAAAATTTTGTATTTATTTACATTGTTGTTAGTTTTGTTGCTGTTGTTGACGTTGTTGTTAATGATGTTGACGTTGTTGTTTCAGATGCTTTTGATGGTCTGGTTGATGATGTTGTTGAAATGTTGTTGATATTTTTGTTGTTGTTGCTGTTGTTGTAGATGAGGATGTTGTAGTTGTTGTTGTTGTTGTTGTTGTTGTTGTTGTTGATGTTGTTGCTGTTGTTGTTGATGATGATGTTGTTAATGTTGTTGTTGTTGTTGTCGTTGTAGAAAGCATCGTTCAGTGCAGTCAATCAATTTTTTCAAACATCTAATAATGAACGCCTGTGCTGAGAACCTCTTTTCAATCAACATGTCTAAAATTTCATTAAATATATAATTAATATTCTTATATCAAATTATAAAAGACATTAATCAAATAATTTAATATAAATAAACTTATAAATTAAATTATAAGTAAATTTAATCACGATTTTGTAAATAAACTAAATTAATGATTCAATAAAGTTGCGCTTGGTGTATTATCTTGAGATTCTTCTTCTAATTAATTTTAACAAAAAAATTTGAAGACTAAACTCAAAAAGGTAATTTTTCAAATGAAGCAGATTCAATTAAAAAGAAATAACAAAATTCTAATTAAATAAATTATTATTACCGCTATGGAAACGTATATGAATTGGAAATTATTTTTTCAAATCAACAAGACATTACGTCGTCTGTTTGTTTGTATGTTTGCATGTTTGTTTGTTTGTTTGTTTGTTTTTTTGTTTATATCTTGGTGTGTTCTTTCCTCATGAAAGTTTTGCTGATAATAATTTTTATTATTGTTGCGTCTCCGTGTTATGTTGAAACAAAATTTGTATCTGGTCTGTGTATGTTTGTGCGTGTCTGTCTGTATTTGTGTGTGCAAATTGTATCAATGCATTTTTTGCACCCAACAAAGTCTCATTTACTTATATGTTTCACATTTGCATTTTAATTTTGAACTATTAATTTCATGAAAATAATGACGTAAGAATCGGATGGTGTTACTGGTAACATGATAATTTGTTTAAAATAATCTGCAAAAAGAATTAAAAAATTTAAACGCAAAAAATCTAAAGTACCGATATGCATTATTGAAGACATTTAATTTTGGAGCGCCATCTAGAGCATGTTACGTTGGGAAGGTGGGACGTGCAATCAACCAATCGGAGCATGCTCCAATCTTCACAACCCCAAACCGAGTCAGTCAGTCAGCTTGGTGGTGTGGTGTGGTGTGCTTTGGTGTGGTGTGGCGTGGAAGGAAAGTGGTGAATTTTTGAATTTTTGTGGTGTTTAATTATTCTGTTTGGCGTTGCATCATTAAATTGAACTAATTTAAATTTATTTTAATTAAATGGTGCTTATACATTGTGTACAAGTTTAAAAGCATCTGATAATTTTTATTTATTTAACAAATTCATATTTTCATTACTGAGTAAGAACATTCCTGGTGACATGTGTGATGTGGCGATAAGTTTATTAACGAGTAAAGATTTCTTGTACGTACATGATAATATGCTCTATTCAGGTACCATCTAAAAATTATTTGGACAAGTCAAAATAATCATTCAGCATATATGGCATTTAAAAACTTCTGTGCATGCAAGTACCCACAAGTAGTCAGGCAATGTTTTTGGAACCTTTTAAGCAGCAGAAGTGGATGGGGTTGCGAGGTAGCAGGTGCCTCTGTTCAAATACTTTTTCAGTGCATTTGGATGTTCGATGAGTTGCTTGCTCTGCGCTCGTCTCACTAAATGAATGCAGAATCACTTTTTATTCTTCATGTTGTTTCAGTTGCTCGCTTACTTGGACATTTTCAGACAAAAACTTTTGTTATTATCAACATTTAACTGTTTTGTTTGCACAATTATTTCTTTCAACCTGTTGCCAAATTTTAATTTACATTTAAATGAACACAAAAATTTTCACAAAAGTTTTCGCAGAACTTCAAGTTTGTGCAGCGAAATTGTAACCAGCAACGAGCTTACGTGCAAACAATCCACAATGCATTTCATGGCATGGAGAAAATTTTTTAGTGGCTTTTAAGTTGAACAATCAAATAATGTCTCGGTCAGCCATAAAGCAAGTATATATAATAGACAATTCAACAAACAAAAATTTTATTAAAAAATATTGTTTAAAGAAGAAGATAAAATGGAGGCGTGAAAGATCTTCTCCAAACTATCAAGATTGTCAGATAATTTGTTTTTCATTTATTTTTTCAAAGTGAAATTTAATCTTCATACAGTTTTTCTTAATTTATTTAACTTTCAAAAAACAATTCACGTCAATGTGTTTGCTTCAAACTGAAAATATTGAGTTGTTTTTGATGGTTTAAAAATTGTTTCAAATTTGAATGGAAGGATTTCGATAGCAAAAAGCGCAACACACACCAGAAACTTCTGATTGAATAAGTGAAATATAAAACCGAATTATTCCATTTTTGCATGCACGTCTGAGTAATTTTTGGAGACGTTAATTGGAAATGTTTATTGGAAATGTTAATTGGAAATGTTAATTGGAGACGCTAATTAAAAATGTTAATTAGAAATGTTAATTGATATTTTTTGGTTGGTTATAATTGGGACTACCTCTGCGTTCGTGTCAAATGGAGTTACTCCATTCACGTGTTAGTTGTAACAACACTGAAGTCTATCGCTTAATTATTGAGAATATTTATTGGAGCGTTGAATTAAAAATGAGTCGATTAGCAAATTAAAAAGTGCGAAAGATTTTTTCCACATTAAATTCACCCTCTCAACTTTCACACTATCAATAAAATAACTTTTAAAAACTGTTTTCATCCCAATCATCAGTTTCCATAATGTTACAACATCAGAAACATCAACATCATCAACAACATCTTCTTCAACAAAATGAGCAGTTGGAACCTTCGCAACAACAAAATCAACAACAACAACAAAAGAAACTTTTTGCTTATGAAATGAATCAATTGGACGGATCACGTTCGGCCCATCTTGGGCCACTTTTTAATAATAACCATCATTACAACAAGAACAACAACCTGATGTACAACGGCAATTATACAAACAAACCAACAGACAGTTCTATCACTACTCCTCTTCTCACAACTCCTTTAAACAAGCACAACATCCAAAACAACAACAGCCACAGCATTAACAAAAGCAACATCTACGATAATTCCAACAGCGACTACAACAACAATCACAGCAATTATAACAGTAATAACAACATCCACACCAACAAACACAGCATCAATTACAACAACAACAACCATAACTTAAGCAACATCAACAGCAACCTTAACCATACCGACAACAACATTACAACGAGCAACAATACAAACAACAACAATACAACCAGCAACAAAGGCAGCAATAACCAAAATGTCATCACTGGAAATTTTTTCAAAAATTCAACAAATATTACTAGCTATGGCGGTATAAAACCAGCGGCTCCACGAGAAAATGAACGTTATCAACAACAACAAAATCATCATCAACAACAACACCAACAACAACACCAACAACTTTTACACCAGCAACAACAACAGCATCGCTCCACATTCAATCTGCACGCGTTCAGATACCATCCAACGAACTTCAACGCTAAACATCTTATCAGCCATTATAACGCTTATCATTATTCTTACAATAACAACAACAACATCAATAATAATAATAACAAAAATAACAATAATGATAATACAAACTCACATAACAAAGCTGATGATTATGAGACGTCGTTGAGCAACGAGACACTCTTGCCTAGCAACAATATCAGCAGTCACTTTTTAGTTGTCAACAACACCAGGCGAGGTACATTCAATGCATTGAAGAACAACAATAACCACAACAGAAACAACATCGACAACTTTAAACATTATTTCAACAATAACAACAAAGAAATCGAAAACAGAGACAACAAAGAGGCGAACTCCGACAACAATCAGACGGCAGGCAATGAAAGGAACGAAATAGAAATGTTGACCGCAGCAAGGAACTATTTCGTTTGGCCCACTGATCCGATACAACTTGAATGTACTTTTCGAGCGCACGAATACAACCCATTTCATTCTCCGCCGATCTGGGTCAAAGGTCAAGAGATGGATCGTACGCAAGTGAACATGGCGAGCAGTTTGAGGTCACCATTTCTGGATCACCAGGACAGGATGGAGGTGATGTTCTACAAGAAGGAAAATAATGATGAGGAGAATGACGGTGACGACAATGACGATGATGGTGAAAATGATGACGCTGATGGTGAAGATGATGATGCAAATGATGACAGCCGTGAGAAACACGCTGATGTTGGACGGAAGGGTGTCGATGGAACTGATGGAGATGTTTTTACGTTTAAATTAATTATATCAAGTGAGTCTTTTCATTACATTTCAATATAACTCATCTTATTACTTTAATTCTTACAAGTGAATCGTTTAACTTACATTTAATAACTACAATGAAAATGATATTACTACAAATAAAATTTTCGATTACATTTATATTAATATTATGCCATGCATGTATTTAGGGAGGAAGTCTTAAAAGGCACCAACAGTCAACAAACATTTTGCAGTTGCAACTTTTTAAAAATTCAGTAAGCATATATTGTATAGTTTTGATACATGGAAACCCAGTCTTAAACAGGAAAATTGACACAAAATTGTCCGATTGCAAAGTAAAAGGTAGCGTACAATTTTCAGTTTTTAGTCCTGGTCAAATTTCTTACCTCCTTAAACTTGTTTAAATCCGCTCTTGTTCTTGCAAGTAATACAACCATTATGTACATTTGTAGCGTACCTTATAAGCAATAAGTGAACGAAACAAAATTAGTTGCCTTTCTTCGTCTCAGTACTTCTTTGTCGGACATTCTCAAGTTTTCGGCGCGTTAATTGCTGGGCAGTGTGACTTGAACAGTCGTGACCAACGGGAGGAGAAGGTTAACAAATTTTTAATTAAAATTCTTACGCTGCTTGTTACAAAACTCGAAACAGGATTTTTATCTAAAGCCGAGACGACGCATGTAACACAAGCACGCACACACTAACACACACACACAAGCACAAAAGCAATGCACGCACGCACGCACCTACCTAAGTACAAAATACGCACACTCGTGTATACATAAGAATGCAAAAAAGCCCTAACTCACATACACACGCACAGAATGTGTTTTGTGGATAAATATTTGTTTAGACATTCTTTCTGAAAAATTTCGAGAGGTTCCTTACAGCAATTAATTATTAAAATTTGAAATCTGACTGCTCTTCTGCTGGTTGTTGTGGATAACATGGCCAGTTTGCTTAAAAGCTGAATTTTAATTTCTTGTATTCAACATTGTCACCAAAATTATTGAAAAGTAATTATTTCAATTTTAATTTATTTTGACGTGAAGTGAATTTAGATAAAAACACTGGTTGGGAACGTTCTTAAAAACTTCGAAATGTCAGTTCAGCCGACAAAACGTGACCTACTTCAGTAAATAAGTAAAAGTAAATTACTGCAATTTTCACCGAGAAGCCTCTAATGGTCTCCGAAATTATGTGCCTGCCTGCTACCGCTCCCGTCTCTCCTTAGTTTCCTTCTGTTTTGTAGTGTTTCTATGTTCTTATTGGCTTTCGCACAGCTGAAGTTTTTTATTGAATAGCTCAAATTTTTCATTAAATGGCATACATTTTGCTATACTAAACTGATACGAAGATGTTTTATTGCCAAGAAATAAATGTAATGTGATAGAATGTGATGAGACGTAAATTTATGTAATGTAATTTAATGCGATGTTACGTGTATTATAATGGGATCTTTTGTTAAATGAGTTATTTAAATGGCTACCATTTAAAACTATATTTCATATTTTGTTTATTTTTATCCGCAATCAAAATACTTTTAGAAACGCATTTGATTGCTTGTTGTTGAGATGAAGATTTGTAATGTCGAAATAATATCAGCGCAAAAAATAACTGACCATCAATATTTCTACTGATAGCAACTCATAAAAATATTCGACTGCCCACATTTTCCAACCACCACCACCTCCTCCAACCACCCCCCCCCCTTCTTCCAACCACCTCCTCCAACCACCGCCACCTCTTCCAACCACCTCCTCCAACCACCACCACCTCCTCCAACCACCACCACGCAGGTTGCATAGAAGAGGATGCTGGCAACTACACGTGCGAGATCAAATCAGCCGGACATGACGTCAGAGCTTCCGTCACCCACCAAGTATTCATCATGGGTCAGTCTCTTGTTCTAATTCTCTTTATTTTTGTGTCACAGTTAAACTGTTTAATCGCTTAACATGAAAAAAAGTTATGTCTTGAACTTGCACACTTCACTCAATCCATGAGTTAGATGCTAGCTTATACAATTACATGCACATTTAAATGTTTGTAAAATATAAATATATACATATGTATATATATATAAGCTTATGTAAGTACATACCTATACATTTATACATATCTTTATATACTTATTTATAATTCATACAAGCAAGGCAATGAAACGCATGTAAGAATAGATCACATAAACAAACTTTTCACCTCAAAAAGTTCAAAAATTAAAATATACTTTCTCAAATTTTAAACAAAAATTATTTTTGCGTGCAATTTTAATATTCCGTGCGCCGCAATTGAGTTATCAGATAATACTATCCCATGCCAAACATTTGCACGACGTCCCAACCACATGACACCACAACCACACGACATCTCAACTACAAGACACCACAACCAGTTTTATTTGTAGTAGTAATAATAGAAGTTAGTGGTGGTAGATGCAGTAGTAGTAGAAATGGTAGTGGTTGATATTGTTGCGTGCAGTTGTTTTTGTGATAGCACTTGACAGTGAAATAAAAAGTTATTACTGGAGAATGTTTCGATTGGAGTCTTTTTTGGCCTTCATAAGCCACTTTGGAAAGTGGATGACTTTATTGAAATGTCATCGTCATCACATTTTTCTAATCAGGCGACATGTTCTTGAAGTAAATTTGACTCTTGGTGGCTGTAAGAATAATAACAAGTTGCGTTTCTGTTTTAATGAACCTTTTTTTAGTTTATACGTCTTGAAATTGAAATCTGATCGAAAAAAAGTTGAAGCACAGCCAAGCAAAATAATTCATCAACGTGCTATGCGATGCGAATGTGTGAATGCGTAACGCACCGACGGCGATGATGATGACTACAATATAATGATATAGCAGTGACATCATCATGTTGACAAGGACGTCCCCTTCATCACCATCATTATCACAATGACGTCATTATGAGATGGATTGAAAAATTCAATCAATTCAGACAAAATGGAATAAACAAAAAGAATGAAGCCCTTAGCCGCGGTTGAATGCATGCCATGAATCTCAACGATGCCACAAACCAAAATAATGAAGTCTAATTATTTTCCCGCGAAAATGAGGAATGGCGAGCAATTATTTCGCATGCTCGTCTTCGAAACTCTGCGTTATTAAATAACTAAGGACACGTTTTGAGGTAACCAGTTGAAAGTTATTGGCAGTTTGATGACAGTAACATTTCTGACAACATCAACATTTCCGACAACATCAATATTTCTGACAACATCAACATTTCTGACAACATCAACATTTCTGACGACATCAACATTTCTGACAACATCAACATTTCTGACGACATCAACATTTCTGACAACATCAACATTTCTGACAACATTTCCGACAACATCAACATTTCTGACAACATTTCTGACAACATCAACATTTCTGACGACATCAACATTTCTGACAACATCAACATTTCTGACGACATCAACATTTCTGACAACATCAACATTTCTGACAACATTTCCGACAACATCAACATTTCTGACAACATTTCTGACAACATCAACATTTCTGACAACATTTCTGACAACATCAACATTTCTGACAACATCAACATTTCTGACAACATCAACATTTCTGACAACATCAACATTTCTGACAACATCAACATTTCTGACGACATCAACATTTCTGACAACATCAACATTTCTGACAACATTTCCGACAACATCAACATTTCTGACAACATTTCTGACAACATCAACATTTCTGACGACATCAACATTTCTGACAACATCAATATTTCTGACAACATCAACATTTCTGACAACATCAACATTTCTGACAACGTCATCATGCCTGATAACAACAACATCGTTGAACTCAATAGCAGCTTCATTAACGTCAGCAACATTAAGATCATTTTTGAAATTAGGGCCACTAATAATAATAATAATAATAATAATAATAACATTAATAATGATGATGATGATAATGAAAATAATAATAAACGAAAACAAACATCTCAGTTTATTTGTTAAAAGTCATACACCATCAAATAAATCACAATGATGATGATGATGATGATGACGACGACGATGATGATGATGATGATAAGGTAATGGCGGTGATAATGGTGTAATTAGGATAATGAGGGTATGATTATGTAAATGACTTGATGGTGATAATGTAACTACGGTAATGAGGAGAGGCGAGGCAACTAATGATGGTGGTATGGTGATGACTACCGACTGACCAACTCTTTGAGATTTCTTTCAATGTCATCACGATTGTTCCAAGCAATGCAACTCTCTCACTAGAGTGATTAGATGAATATCTGACCACTGATTAGGAATTTTTAATGAGTGAGTGAGTGAGTGAGTGAGTGAGTGAGTGAGTGAGTGAGTGAGTGAGTGAGTGAGTGAGTGAGTGAGTGAGTGAGTGAGTGAGTGAGTGAGTGAGTGAGTGAGTGAGTGAGTGAGTGAGTGAGTGAGTGAGTGAGTGAGTGAGTGAGTGAGTGAGTGAGTGAGTGAGTGAGTGAGTGAGTGAGTGAGTGAGTGAGTGAGTGAGTGAGTGAGTGAGTGAGTGAGTGAGTGAGTGAGTGAGTGAACGAAAGAACGAAAGAACGAATGAATGAAAGTGCATGTGTGGCCTATTTATTCTTTAGAGCCAGTCTTCCGAATGAAGCTTAAAAGCTGCATATCATATCTGCAAACGAAATTACCCACTGAATAATATACCAAGCAAGCAGGCAAGCAGTCCTCCTACTGGCATCTAACTTATTTGCCTTATCTGCTGAGCCCTGTTAAAAATATATCGGCACATTAAAAGTGGACCAAAAAAAGTGTTCGACTATATTTGCTATTTTTTCTGAGAATTCTTAAAAAATACTGAGCCCTCTTTTTAAATGGCGCGCTGCATGGAAATAAAATTTTACAACCAAAATGGTGGAAATCATAAAGACACGTTAGTGAAACTAGAGTATAACACTCGTCATCCTGTGTGTATGTATGTATGTATGTATGCATTATGTATATATATATATATATATATATATGTGTGTGTGTGTGTGTGTGTGTACGTATGTTTGCACGTTTGATCATACATTTTTGTTTAGGTGGCCATACTAGATGAATTTTATATAAATTTTATTATGGTCATCCTGCTTTCTTTTAATTTTCAATTTTGAGAAGCAAGTAAAATTTCGTTTCGTCTTGTTTCGTTTCGTCTTGTTTCGTTTCGTTTGTTCATACGTTGTATATTTGCACGTGTGTTCGTTCTGTTTATATGTACTTATGTTTATGTATTTAAACGTTCGTGAATTGCCTCGTTTCTTTACATGCCTTATACATATACAGTCCTGATTATTTGGAGGCGTTTAATTGCAAATGTTTTTAAGCATGCTTTATGACTTTGTATTAAATTAATTTTGTTCTGTGTCGGTAATAAGCGAACGTGAGTCTATGTATTTCAGAAATTATTGATGGATATTGTTCACGAGATGAGAGCAACTACACTGCCATCTTCTGATGTTTCAACCAAAGCAAATTATGAACGTTTCATTAATTTTCTGTTTCAACTGTTGCACTATTGTACTAATGTAAATGTTTAGAATCCAAATGAACTTTGAAGTTGAAAAATAAATTTCTCAGCTCTCAGTAATCAGTAATGTTTGCAGCAACGATTGATTTTGTATTTCTTCAACCATTCATCATTCATCTGAAACAAAACGATAATTCGATAATTTCAGCTTTAAATTTTAATGACAAACGAAACATAAAGTTTTTTTTCGCTCTGAAGGGTGTCTGTTCAGAATTTTCAGGTTTAGACTTGCATCAGCTGTCGGCATACTCCATAAATATTAAACACTCACTTTACTGCTGTAGCTGTTTTTAAACTCCTGACTGCATTAAAATTTTATTTTGGCCTCCTCAATAAATTTTTTTTCAGTTCCTTTTATTTCCACAAGTTTTTTACTATTCAGCTTTCCAATAAAGTGTCCAGAGAGGTGTTTTATTTTGCATGCATTTAATTATCTGCTTATGTGAATTATTTTCTTAAAAAGCCAACACTGCTCAGAAGAGTTGTGTTTTATATGATGTTCTATTTATTTACAGGCCACAAATTACTGCCGCATTCAACACTGCGTTTTAGTTTTTCAAAATGTTCCAATCCAACCATTTAACAGTAATCATATTGGGTGCATTGATATGTTCATTATGCTTCTGACTTGTTTATAAAGTAAACATATTATACAATAATGTACCCTTCAAGCATGTATCCCACAACTTCCATTTATCCGTCAATCCAATCAACCAACCAACTATACATCAAACCATCTACCCATCCATCTTTCTATCCATCCATTCATTCATCTATCTCTTCATCCACCCATCCAACCATTCATCCATTCATTCATCAATCGATTGATTTCATTCAATCTTCATATTAGCAACGTGAGAATTGATATTAATCGAGCACAAATAGAGAATGAAATTCGAAGAAACTTCAAAATTAATTGAGCGCTGTGAACATTTTTTACATCCTTATCTAGTTCATAGTTATTCATAGTTCATTTCATCTTTTAACTTGAAATATGGCAGCTTCAAACTTTAAAACGGAGTAATTAATAACAAAGAAATTTTTTTATATTATTTCATTTCCATATCAGTTTATTTTTATCCAAAAAAAAATATAGAAGTAACAAGAATGAAAATTATGAAAATATTTTATAAATTTTGAAAATTGTTAATGAATGTATAATTTTAAAATTATAAGAAATAGGACGAATAATAAATATAAGCATATAATGCACAGCAGAATGTACTGGAAAATAAAATTTAGACTGCAGTTTGAATGATGGATGCATTTCGCAGGAAAGCTGCCTCACTAACTTTGCGCTGCCTCAACAAAAATTTGTTTCTGTGTTGCGAAACTTGTTGTTAGATAGATGGGATGTTTCTGGGGTTGGGTTGAATGAATGTTGTACAACATGTTGATGGATAGATGGGATGTTGCGTAAAATGTTGTTGGATGAAAGCGATGTTGTGCAACATTTTGTTACACGGATGGGATGTTGCGCAACATTTTTTTGAATAAAGTTGGTGTGAAATGCTGAAACAGTTATAAAAATTTGTCAATAAAATTGAAACCAATTGCTCTGAACATTCTACCGTCTGGCGAGGTTCATGTTGGAACGTTCATTCTTTCTTGAAGTTGAAGACTTTTTAATTGGTTTACAATTACTTGAGACAAAAAATGCTATGCAAAACATGTTTTTAAAAAAATTGGATGTTGCAAAACATGTTGCTGGTTCGATGGAATGTTGCAAAACATGTTGCTGAATTGATGGAATGTTGCAAAACGTGTTGCTGTATCGATGGAATGTTGAAAAACATGTTGCTGAATTGATGTTGCAAAACATGTTGCTGGTTCGATGGAATGTTGCAAAACGTGTTTCTGGATTGATGGAATGTTGCAAAACATGTTGTTAAAGGGATGGGATGTTGTACAACTTTTTTTATAAAAATGTTGTACAACTTTTCTTATGAAATGATTTTATTCTCAAATGATTTTATAATTAGAAACATTTTATAAAATGTTTTTTAAAAATTGTGCTGCTAGTCTTAACAGAATTGAGAAGATGTTGCTCAATTATATGATAACACTAAAAAAATCATTACTCATTGAAGTGGTTGATGGAAATGTTATTGTCACTCTTTTGTAGTTTAATTTTTCCAACAATTGACGGCAATCCTCCAAGCAGGATGCAGCAGCATCCAGGGCATTGCAGACACTCCACAACAGACTTCTCCGTGTTAATTGTTGCCGCTTCAAGAACATGCTATCGAAAGAACTTTATAGATCAAATGATATTTTATGGAAATATCATTACATCTATATTTTGATAAAAAATAAATTTTAACAATATTTTTTAAAATTTCAAAAAATTCAACCTGACTTATAATCCCCAATATAATTAAATAATCAGACATATGACAAATATTAGATGAATAGTCTCAAATATTTGAACAAAACTTAATTTAATTTAACATTCAGCAAGTAACCCACCAGCCCAACATGACTGAGCATAACCAAAACCAATTCAAAACTTTATTTAAGATAAAACAGCAACGAGGTTTCTAAAGACAAACATGGCCAGCAACGTACAATCACACAACAACATGACACACGTCACACAACAACATGACACACGTCACACCACATTGCAGTCTGGTACGTTCGTCTGGAATGTTCTTTTTAAATTTCTGCATCATGAGACTTGAAGACAAGGCTGCATGGTTAAGTCAGACGGCAACTTTCAAACAATTCGTAAATCGAACGTTTGCTAAAAATTTAAATTTTGGTAATCTAGGCCAAACATTCTACTGGGCGAATAATAATTTTGAGTATGAAAAAACAACAGCAAAACCACTGCAATACAACATAAAAAAAAAGCTTCAGAACAATATTTTCAGAAGAAATGTTACACTTCCACAGCTCGGCCATCGTCAGCAGCTGTGGAGAGGCAGCAGCGTTCCACGTGACGAGGTGTTAACATGTAATTGTCTGCTCTGTCTCCTCTTTATGATCGTGTCATCAATTGGCTCGTAGATACGAGCGGGCATGCTTCGTGTGCGAGGTTTTGTGAATGTATTTATGTGAATGTTGTATAGTTATGTCTATGTATATATGTACGCATGTACTATTTGGGTATGTATGTGAAAGTTTAATAACATTTTATGTGTATGCGAGATCTATGTGTATTTATACACGGGTTATGTGTGTGTATGTATTTGTTATATGTGCAAGAATTTACGTATGCATTGTTGTGTGTATTTATGCATTTTGTTACTCGTTATGTGTGAGTTATGCATGTGTGTGTTTTCAAGTGTGTACATTGTATGTACAGTATGCGTATGTATAAATATGTGTTTGTATGAGTAATGTGCGCATGTAAATGCACATACAAATGCTTATATACAAATGCACATTACGTTATTTATATTAAATTTCTGTTGCAATAATGTAAAATCTTGCGTTTCAATATGGCAGCATAAATTCAGTGTTGGCTGTGTTGTGCCGTGTAGTTGTGGTTGGTTGGTTGGTTGGTTGGTTGGTTGGCTGGCTGGCTGACTGGCTGGCTGGCTGGCTGGCTGGCTGGCTGGCTGGCTGGCTAGTTGGTTGGCTGGCTGGCTGGCTGGTTGGTTGGTTGGTTGGTTGGTTGGTTGGTTGGTTGGTTGGTTGGTTGGTTGGTTGGTTGGCTGGTTGGTTGGTTGGTTGGTTGGTTGGTTGGTTGGTTGGTTGGTTGGTTGGTTGGTTGGTTAGTTGGTTGGTTGGATGGTTAGTAACGATGTTTTCGCGTTATATCCCCTCTTTAATTATTTGTTTCATATCTGCTGCTCTCTCTCGTCAAAGTACGCATTTTATTTCTTCTCAATGTCTGTCCTGTCGAGTGGCGTTCAGTGGCGACGTGTCGTGTCGTGTCGTGTCGCGTCGCGTCGTATCGAGCTGACGCCTTCAAGTGGTTGACTTCATATTGTTGTTTTGTTGTTTTGTTGTTCTGTTGTTCTTTTTGCTGGTTATTTGTGTTTTTGGTTGTTGTTTGATTTAGTTGTTGCTTGCTTTGCCATTTGGTAACTGTTTAACCGTTGTGGAGTTGTGTGTGAAATTTACTATTAGCTCTTTTGTCTGTTATGTTTCATAATATTCAGTGGGGTAGGAAGTCATTAATTACCTGATCGGCATCAACGGTTGACTATACGCCATGGCTGAATAATACGCGCATTAAATCCAGGATGCTATAGTAGATTTGTTTCAAGATGCTTTCAAATGCAACACACCAACGTAATCATTAATGAGATGTCCTCTCTTGCTATATTAAATGGTGGCTAAGATTTTAAAAAAACTTTTTGTTAAAGTCGTTTGGCGATGAAGTGCTGTATGCATGTGACGTCAGATAGCACGTGATGATGATGATGTTTACAATTTTTATGATTATTTGTGTGTTATTTCATCACGGAACAATTGTTATTTGAAAAAGTTACACAGCCAGAATGTTTGCGTGAAGATGTTGGTAGTCGTTATTTATCAGCTATCATTCCATAAGCAGCTTAATTGGAGACGGTGTAGACGATGAAGTGATATTCTCTCACACTCTGGTGGAGTCATTGTAGTGTGGGGTGTGCTGGTGGTGGTGGTGGTGGTGGTGTGCATAGGTTGACGACGATGATG